AAAACGTTTCGATCCAAGGAATTAACTGCCGTATGTAAAACTTGGCGGAGGCTCGCGTGTGGTAGTCCGTAAAAGAAGTTTTACAACTGCACAGGATTAGAGAAGTGGTGAATGCCGACGTATCAGATAGATTCTAGAAGGAGTTTCGTATCCGCTCGTATGACAACTTGTACGCGACTTAGTTCGCCTTCTAGCATTAGAGCGACCGAAAGCATCGCACCTCTGTTGTGAAATAGGGGTTTCGACCAGGGTCTGTCCTATCGTTGTTACTTTTCGAAAAATTTTTACGACCCCCCTCCCCCAAGGTGGATTTGGTACGACCCCCTTTTCGACACCTCGACCACCATATTCCTCTCTATAGTATTTAATTCTGATACCACTCAACCCACCAAACTCCGCCCACTTTTTCCTCCAAAAATGCCGTCGGAGGGGGGGGGGGCATTCTGTAGAAGGCTAGCTAAGCCTTCCGTGTCATGCACGTGGTAGTGTGCGGAGCTAAACTGGTACAAAAGAAGTAGTGAAGCCAGCCCATGGTGCCACCAAGATCAAATGAAGCCTCATGCTGCAGGACAGATTTTTTGCGCCAAATAAATTTCACGTGTGCTTCATTCTACTTGTGACAACTCTACTGTAGATAAGCTCTCCATAGCGAGGCACAAAAGGCGACGGCATCTCTATTTGGAGTTGTCCGCAGTGCGACCCCTTGTTCTCATCCACATAGAAAAAGCTACCACCACTTTGTCTAATGCTGAGCCTGGCACTCAAGTTACCTCCACCCTTACTTGGCAAGTCAACTAATACGGCCCTCCTCGTTGCGGAATCCGAGACACACTCGCGGCGTTGTATCCGATTCCCTTCGTCATTATTGTGAGCTGTATTCATCGAACATGACGCAAGCCGAGCCAGCTTCTGGCCAATAAAAGACCACTACGACTGAATAACGTTCCTGATTTTCACCCACCTCCGGTCCTCTTTGAACGCGTTGGTTAATCGTTCTTCTCAGATCGTCTGCCGTTATATCTGTACTGGTTCCCCGGAACTCCCTGCTCATATGATATAGTTTTGTGACTTATGTAACATTTCTTGATTAGAGGTAATGCAAACCTAGTCGCTTTGACCTTCAAGCTTCCTTTCACACTTTGTGTCACTTCTGATTCTAGGAGCGCTTTCGTCGCCAAATAGTCACTCCATTCCTGTAAATCTTTTAATTGACAAATGTGGAATGGTATCTGAAAGGTCCCTACTGCTATCACGAATCCAGTTAGAAACTGACCAATAGTGGCTTATACTGCCGGTTGAACTCCTCGAACACTAGTCTCATGCTTCCTGGTAGAGGTGTCTTCTGTGGCCCTGAAAAATGAACTTGGTCATATTTGTTGAAGTATGCCAAGCACAATTTGACAAAACATGCATTGGAGTCATGGCTTATGTATGCTTCGCAGCAAATTGGCAGCACTCACCTTGTCCGTCGATGACACTCGCTAGGAAGAAAACCAGCAGTGGGAGGGTGAACATTTCAAGTGTGACGAATTTGCTTTTCAGTCATCACCCCTCCCCTACTTTATATATAGCTGATTTATTTACTGTTCCCTTCTTGTCGATGATTTTTTGTACAAGGGTGGTAAACTCAGTATACCCCTATATGATGTCGTGATTTTGATGACACTCACAACGACTGTATAAACATGAGATTCATTCTACATGGTGCTGCAGTGGCAGCTGCAGGGCGCGGGAGAACGAAAGGAAGGGAACTAGCGACTCTCGAGGCTGAGATCTAAAACAGTGTCGAGGTTTTATTTCAACGTAATGTCACCATTCGATAATACCCACAAGACTAAATATGTCTAGTGAAGCATCCCGCAAGATTTTTTGCCTGATAGCCATAGTGTTCACGATTACTTCTATGTGTTCTGGGAGTTTCTTACCAGGAGCGCTCAGTATACACCCACAACGCTTAACTAGACCTAAGGATTATCTTTTAACACTCGGTGATAGAATCTCAACCCTTCCGCTGCAATCCACAATCAGTACTCTGCTTCTTCCTGCCCTCTCGGTCTCATAGTGCTTACGTTACCCTATCGCCGGTTTTTATACTAATATATGGTCGCAAGTCGATGATTTTTGAATTTTCGGTATCAATTTCAAAAAACCAGGTGGTGGGGTCCGCTCCTCCAAGTGGTGCCACTGGGAACTGCTCACTTTTGTGAGCTGAGCTGATCGCGGACATTCGAATGCAGGCGACAGGCCCCCGTGACAGGCCGGCCTACGAACACCCACGTCACATCACAAATGTTAATGTCGTCATGTGATTTCCGAGATAATGCTACGGCGTCCGCGGGAGCCGACGCGCACTCGCAAAGCCCGGCGAGTGTGAAAAGTATGCGAGGGTCTCCGGTGCAAGGACGGCATCGGGGGGCAACTAAGGCTAGTCCACAAAGTCCTGCAACGTACGGAAGATTCGCGTTGCGACGTTAAATCTTGGCACGTTAACGGGCCGCTCGTACGAGTTAGCAGAAGCTCCTTATCACCTTCCATTGCAGTCCTACCAGAACGCAAATCGACTTTGTCCTCGTCAGGCAACGCGATCGAGGGCTCGTAACAGACGCAAAGGCGGTGCCGTATGAGACTGTCACCACGCAACATCGACCGCTGATTTGCACGCTGAAGATCGCTCCTCCGAAATTGAAACAAATCGAGCGGTGTGGACCAGCGAGAATCAAGTGGTGGCGTTTGAAAGAGAAGGAGGCGGTCGTGATATCCAACATTCAGTTGCCGGCAGTCACTACTGTTGATGAAACTTGGAAAAGTGCTGCCGAGGCGATAATCCGTTCTGCCCGTTCCGAACTCGGCACAACAAAACCTGGGCGACGGAAGATCGACAAGCAAGCGTGGCTATGGACGGACGATGTTAAAGAAAAAGTACGTGAGAAGAAGAGGCTATACCACGTATTTCTTGGCGATAAGACTGTCGACAACTGGCGAAGGTATCAGGCAGCTAAGAGTGCGACAAAGAAGGCCGTTGCTGCCGCAAAAGCTGCCCACTTTGCTGATGTTAGCGAGAAGCTCGAGACGCGCGATGGTGAACGCTATATTTATCGCCTCGCCAAAGCCCGCCATCGCCAGTCCGAGGACATCGAGAAGTTTTTCGGCATCAACGACGAAAATGGTCACCTCCTGACGGACCGCAAGAAAGCAGTGAAGCGATGGCATGATTACTTCGAGAACATCTCAGCTGTAGAATTTGCCCATCCAGCAGTCCCTTATGTCCCGCCAGTGCAAGGTCCTGTGCAGAGAATAACCGTGGAGGAAACGGAAAGGGCTCTGAACAAGATGAAGTCTGAATGGTTGACCAAGTTTTTCAACCTCATCGTAGCAGAGAGAAAGGTGCTTGAGAGTTGCAGCAGAGCACAACGATTATGATTTGGAAAAAGAAAGGCAGCCCTTTACCGTCCAATTCGCCTGCTCTCGCACAGCATGGAGATCTTTGAGCAAATTATGGACGACCGTATTCGTAACTCGTACGCGCCTCTCCATTCAACCAGTGTGCTTGTGTCAGACTAGCATGGCATCCAATCGATCCAACCATACATTGCCTACCCGTCTTTTGCGGAAAGACATCGCGAGAAAATGAAATGCTCTGCTTGATCGCGTTCCTCGAGAAGTTATATGGTATGCTTTACGACAGCACGACGTTCCCGAAGAGCTCATTGAGTGGGTGCGCATACTTTACTCGAACTCAAGGAGTCGGGTGCAAACGGTGGCAGGTACTTCGATGGAATTCCCCATCTCGGTCGGTGTGCACCAAGGCTCTGCGCTTTCCCCACTCCTATTCATTGTCGTTGGATGCCATTTCGCGTGATCTTCAGAAGCCCGCTCCATGGACGCTTCTTTATGCTGATGACGTGATGCTCGCCTGCGAAGACAAACATCTACTCGAGCAACAGGTGCAAACCTGGTCCGACCGTCTGGCTATGTTTGGGCTCAGGTTGAACGTGAAAAAGACAGAGTACTTGACCGCTCAGGTTAAACGTGAAAAAGACACCGCCGATTTCAGTGAGCCAGGCTCGATTAAGATCAGTGGCACTGAGCTCACACGTACAACATCATTCAAGTATCTTGGGTCGGCAATTGATCTCTGAAGTAAACTCCCGAGGTGAGTGCAGCTTGGTCCAAGTGGCGCTCGATGACCGGCGTTCTCGGCGACAAGAATAGCAAAGCGACAGAAGTCTAAGAACAAGAGGTTGAGGCTCGTCTCAGTGTAATGGAGACGAAAATGCTGCGCTGGACTGCCGGGGTCACGCGTTAGACCACATTCGCAACGATACCATCAGAAAGCGGTTCGGTGTGGCTCCCATCGCTGATAAGATGCGCGAAGCTCGCCTGAGGTGGTACGGTCACGTCCTTCGCGCTAATGATGACAGTGTCCGTAAGATCGGTCTAGACTTTAACGTGCCAGGAAAGCGGCCAAGAGGACGCCCGAAGCAACGATGGCTTGATACGTTGCATGAGGACTTGAAATTAGTTGGCCTTCACCCCGATCAGGCACATAATCGGGAAAAGTGGCGTCGTAATACCAGGAAAAGCGGACCCCGCCACAGGGTGGGACAAACGCTAAAGAATAAGAAGAAGAAGATTTTTCAAAAAATGAGTTGATCATGTTGTGTCAGCCTGGTCTAACTTGGTAGAGTTCTGGGGTCGTACCGTCTAACTTGGTAGAGTTCTGGGGTCGTACCAGCACTTTTGTCCACTCTGCTTTACCTTTCTTCTCACGTACTTTTTCTTTAGCATGGTCCGTCCATAGCCGCGCTT